TGCCCCAAATACAAAGGCACCAACATTCGTAAAAGAAACATTATTAAAACTCAAATCACAAATAAGACCTCACACAGTTATAGTGGGAAACTTCAACACCCCACTCACACCACTGGACAGGACCACCAGACAGAAACTTAACAAGGAGACTACAGACCAATATCCCTCGTGAACATTGACACAAAAAATTCTCAATAAAATATTGGCAAATCAAATCCAAGAACACATCAGAGAAATCATCCACCATGATCAAGTAGGCTTCATCCCAGGGATGCAAGGATGGTTCAACATACGAAAATCCATCAATGTAATCCACCAAATAAACAGACTGAGGAAAAAAAACCACTTGATCATCTCACTAGATGCCGAAAAAGCCTTAGACAAAATCCAAAACCCCTTCATGATAAAGGTCTTGGAGAAACCAGGGATAAGAAGAACATACCTCAACATAATAAAAGCAATACACAGCAAGCCAACAGCCCACATCAAATTAAATGGAGAGAAACTCAATCCACTTCCTCTAAAATCAGGGACAAGACAAGGCTGTCCACGCTCTCCATGCCTCTTCAATGTTGTCCTTGAAGTTCTAGCTAGAGCAATAAGACAACAAAAGGAGATCAAGGGAATACAAATCGGAAAGGAAGAAGTCAAAGTCTCACTATTTGCAGAAGATATGATAGTATACATTAGTGACCCAAAAAACTCTACCAGGGAACTGCTACAGCTGATAAACACCTTCAGCAAAGTGGCAGGATACAAGATTAACTCAAAAATAATCTGTAGCCCTAATATATATCGATGACACACTGGTGGAGAAAGAAATCAGAGAAACGTCACCTTTACAATTGCCACAAACAACACAAAATACCTCTTGGTAACACTAACCAAAAACATGAAAGACCTGTACCCAAAGAATTTTGAGTCTCTAAAGAAATTAAAATGATACCACAAAATGGAAGGATCTCCCATGCTCTTGGATAGGTAGGATCAACATAGTAAAAATGGCAATCTTGCCAAAAGCAATCTACAGATTCAATGCAATCCCCATCAAAATCCCAAAGCAATTCTTCACAGAACTTTAAAGAACAATTCTCAAATTTATATGGAGAAACAAAAGACCCAGGATAGCCAAAACAACCCTGTACAATAAAGGAACTTCTGGAGGCATCACTATCCCTGACTTCAAGCTCTATTACAGAGCTATAGTCCTGAAAACAGCTAGGTATTGACACAAAAATAGACAGGTAGACCAATGAAATACAGTTAAAAACCCTGATTCTAACCCACACACCTAAGAATACCTGATTTTTGATAAACAATCCAAATTTATATGATGGAACAAAGAGAACATCTTCAACAAATGGTGCTGGCATAACTGGTTGTGGACATGTAGAAGACTGAAGTTAGACTCAAGCCTTGTTAGACAAAACTTAAGTCAAAATGGATCTAAGACCTCAACATAAATCCAGCTACACTGAACCTATTAGAAGACAAAGTGGGAAATACCCTTGAATTAATTGGTACAGGAGACCACTTCCTAAACATTACACCAGTAGCACAGACACTGAGGTCAACAATTGATAAATGGGACCTCCTGAAACTGAGAAGCTTCTGTGTGGCAAAGGAGACAGTGAGCAAGACAAAATGGCAGCCTGCAGGCTGGGAAAAGATATTCACCAACCCCAAATCTGACAGAGGGCTGATTTCCAAAATATACGAAGAACTCAAGAAGCTAGTCTCCAATACACCAACCAATCCCATTAAAAAGTGGGGTACAGACAATTCTCAATAGAGGAATCTAAAATGGCTGAAAGACACATAAGAAAGTGTTCAACATCCTTAGCCATCATGGAAATGCGAATCAAAACAACTCTGAGATACCATCTTACTCCTGTCAGAATGGCAAAAATCAAAAACACCAATGACAGTTCATGCTGGAGAGGATGTGGAGAAAGGGGAACACTTCTCCACTGCTGGTGGGAGTGCCAACTTGTACAGCCAATTTGGAAATCAGTATGGCGACTCCTCAAGAAAATGGGAATCAGTCTACCACAAGATCCAGCAATTCCACTCTTAGGCATATACCCAAAAGAAGCACATTTATACAACAAGGACATCTGTTCAACTATGTTCATAGTAGCACCATTTGTAATAGCCAGAAACTGGAAGCAGCCTAGATGCCCCTCAACCGAAGAATGGCTAGAGAAAATGTGGTCCATTTACACAATGGAGTACTACTCAGTGGAAAAAAAAAACAATGGAATCTTGAAATTTGCAGGAAAATGGATGGAACTCGAATAAACCATTCTGATCGAGGTAGACCAATCACAAAAAGACAAACATGGTATGTACTCATATGCAGATTTCAGACATAGAGTAAAGGATTACCAGCCTACAGTCCACACTGCCAAAGAAGCTAATAAACAAGGAGTACCCTAAGAGAGATATACGTGGTCCCCTGGAGAAGGGGAAAGGGTCAAGAACTCCTGAGCAAATTGGGAGCACAGGAAGAGGGGGGGAGGAGCTAGGGGAATGAGAAGGGGAGAAGAGGAGGAGGCATGCAGAGGACATGAGGGAGCATAAAGGTTGAGTCAGGGGAAGAATAGATGATAACAAGAGTGAAGGTACCATAATAGAGGGAGACATTTTTGGTTTGCAGAGAAATCAGGCACTAGGGAAATTTCTGGAGATCTACAAAGATGACACCCGCTAACAATCTAAACAACAGAGGAGAGGCTACCCTAAATGCCCTCCCCTGATAATGAGATTGATGACTGACTTATATGCCATCCTAGAGCCCTCATCCAGCAGCTAGTAGAAGTAGAAGCAGACACTGACAAGTAATCACCAAACTGAACTGGAACCCAGATGCAGAGAAGGATGAATGAAGAGCAAAGGGGTCCAGACCAGGCTGGGGAAACCCACAGAAAAAGCTGACCAGAACATCAGGGAACTCTTGTTCCCCAGACTGATAGCTGGAAAGCCAGCATGGAACTGATCCAGACCCCAGGAACATGGGTTTCTGTGAGGAAACCTTGGAAATCTATGGGACCTCCTGTAGAAGTTCAGTACTTATCCCTAGCATAGGTGTGGACTTTGGGAGCCCATTCCATATAGAGGAATACTCCCTGAGCCAAGACACACGGGGGTGGGCCTAGGCCCTATCCCAAAGGATACAATAGACTGTGATGACAACCTATGGAAGGCCTCACCATCCAGGGGGAACAGAAAGGATATGTGATAGACAGGGTTTTAATTGGGTGGGGGAGTTGGTAGGTGAGGACGGGAGGGAGAAGGGAACTGGAATTGCCATGTAAAACAATCCTGTTTCTAATTCAAATAAAAAAAAGTTGAAAAAAATTTAAAAAAAAGAAAAGAAATGTCAAAGATATAATCTCTGTGTTGGCAGATTATAGAACATAGATTTTATCAAATTTGAATTCACTTATTAAGTTGCATTAGTATTTTGCAAGACAGAAAAATGAATACTGTCCACTAAATAAAACACATGCTGTTAATATTCAGAACTTACATTTTATGCCACCTAAGCCAGCTTCACTGCTCTTCATTAAATATGCATGATTTAATGATCTTAATTATTCCCAAGTGGTTTTTACTTGCATATGCATCCACCCTCATGCACTGGAAAATGTATGTTAAATAAACTGTGTAAGTTTTTCCGGAAGCTCCTTCCCTCTGAGTCTTGGACTCAGGCCTCACTGTTCTTTGTCAGGGAGATCACTTCACACCACGCTGCTGCTTACATGGTGTTGTCAAGAGAATGGGTCACACAAATAACTTTTGGGAAAAGTCAGGATTCATTTTCATATGGTTAAAGTACGAGTGATTATTCATGGTCATATATATACATATATATATATGTATATAATACAAATCCCAAGCTTGTGTAGCATCAAATCTATACTAGTGTGTGGTAATTTATGTGGGCCAACAACAGTCAGAATCTTAAATGAAGGAAGTGTGGGCTTCAAAGATAGCACAGAGGCTGTTCCAGCCCCAGGGATACCCTCTTATGAACTCTGAGAGCAGCAGAACTGACATGCATGTGTTTACGTGTGAGTGCACACATACACATTCATATACACACATGTACACTTAGGTGTATGCACTGCACCTAAACAATTTTAAGAATAAAATCGTAAGAAAAATAAGAATCAATAAAATAAGCTATTAAAGAAAAACCATATCTCAATATAACTAACAACCGGAGCTCAAGTCAATGACTTATGTGCCTGTACAAACATTATTTCAGAAATGTATACTAAAGCTGCATAGAATTCCAGGATTTTTTATAACATAAATTTATCGTCATTCTAAAGATGTTTGAGGCCTGTGTAGCTGTGTTCCATTGAAAACTTTTGCATTATGTTTTATTAGCAGCAGTCTTTAAAAATACACTTGTTAAAGGTTTTCAATTTATTTTGTGTATTTTTATAATATGGTTAAAAAAAAAAACCAAAAATCAAAAAAACCTGGAACTAGAGCCATAGGATCAGCAGTTAAGAGCACTTGCTGCTCTTGCAGAAACCTGAGTTTGAGTCCCTACAGCCACATAACAGCTGTAACACTAGCTCAAATGAATCTGATTGCCTCTTCTAGCCTACACACACACACACACACACACACACACACACACACACACACACACACACACACACACTGAAAGAAAATGTATCTTTATAAATAAAATAAAATCACTCATCAGCTGGGAATGGTAATGCTTTCCTATAGCCCAGATAATCAGGCCTTTGGGACAGAAGAATCAACCCAGTCCAGATTTTTGAGACATGAGTCTCAAGAAGAGCAATGAAAAACAAAATTTAAAAACAAATCAGTCTATGGGAAGCCCCAATAATATTGCACGTGAACTAAGCTATCTTGATCGCTAAACTGCCCTTTCTCAGCATGCAGACAAAGATATATTAAGGATAAATCTTTGACCCCCCCACTAATATTTTTTAATCCCTTGTCTACCTCAGGTCCTGTCAGTAGTGTCTTGGTGAATAACTACGGCAGCCGGCCAGTTGTGATAGTTGGAGGGTTGTTATGCTGTACCGGAATGATCTTGGCTTCCTTCAGTAACAGTGTGATAGAACTTTACCTCACGGTTGGCTTCATTGGAGGTAAGCTGGAGCATACTCTCCTCTAAATGGCATGAAAATGATGAAGAATACACAAATGCTCAGTGATCTGTTTCAGTTTTTGAAAACAGGTCTATTCTGGGGTCTTTTATCTGATGCCTTAAAATACTGCCTACAGTAGGACTACCCATTTCATTTTAAGACATAATTTTTAAAAGTTATCATATAGTCATGTGTCATCCTACAGATAAGGAAATGGAAGCAGCATTGGTTCTTTTTGACATGGTCATTTCTTACTGTTGAGTCAGTTAAGGTGGTGTTATGAATATCTTCTAGTATAACAAACAACTTTATGAAACATTTTTAGTCCTGTTTAAAGTATTTGACTTACCACTAATGGTAAGTTAAAAATGGTGCCAAATATGTATTTTCAGATAACAGTGATTTAAGTTCAATGATAAAATTGCTGTCCACTGTGCTTTAGTGAGTGACAGAGAGAGCTTTAGTCTTCATTTGTCGGTCTTTCCCTTACTAAGATGATATACTTAGAAGCACTCACATGAGCCTCGAGAATGATATCATTATGCCTCCTGAGGGAGTCCCTTTCACTTTAACCCAACCTAAACTGTTACATTTGAAGGGCACCATTTTTATTTTCCCTATCAACAAATTTTATTTAAAAATTCATATTCCGTGTTTTAAAAAATGGATAATAAAGGCTAAATTAACATTTATGTCTCATTTTTGAGTTGAGATCCATCTACATTTATACATGTAAACCATCTGATGAAGAAAACAGGTAGGATTTACAGGCTGCTGTGTAGCAGACATCATCGTACAAGCTTATAAACCAGACTAGGGAAACTGAGGCAAGAGATTCTGAGCCCTATGTAAGTCTGAGACATGCAATCAGTTCAAGACCCACCTGGGCAACACACTGAGAACAACAAAAGTGAAGAACTACAATAATAGTGACTATCAATGTATTTGTTACCTCTCTGTGTCACTCTGACTTTTTATATGGCAAAATACATTTTTTTGTATTTTAAATATCAAATCTAAGTGCTACATATTGGATCTAAGCACTCTTGTTGTGGAGAGAATATACACATTTCCTTTATAAGGACATTGTGGTTATCTTCTATCTCACCGGAGAAAGAGAACAAGGCTATAAGTAAGGAGGCAATGGTTTTGCTGTTCCTATACTAGAACATTCCTATACAGCAACATCATTGCTATTCAAAAACAATTTCATGTGTTTGGGTCTTGGTGGTGTTGGTGTTTCTAGAATGAACAAGTATGTATCACTTTTCTTGGCATAACATCTAGAGGCAAAAGTCCTTCTGCTTTTTCAGGGAGAAAGTGAATAAGGATAAATGAAGTCCAATACCTGGGTTTTTAGTTCAGCTTCCTCTGCTTACATGCTACCTGCCTATAAACTAATGAGAATCAGTCTAGTTGTTCCCAATCTACTTATCTCAGTGCTGTTTTTGAAGGAAAGTGGGAGCTCACAGCCTGGTTTCCCTAAATTATAGTTTTGGTTCCTACCACAGCTTTTAGAGAAAATTTATTTCAGGAAATGTCATCAAGGGTTAGAGTATTTGTACTTAGTGTTGTGTGTCTTAGAAGTTGAGGACTTAATCACTTAGCAATATGATTCCAATTCATCCAAATTAGTAGGCTAAAGGATTCTTACCTAAATAGTCCTTTATAAATAGACTAGTACAAACACTAATGTAGCAAAAGAGATAGTTCACATAAATCAGTCTATATGCTTTTAAAAGGACTATTCATCGATACTTATGAATAGTACCATGTCTGGCTGATCTGCAAAAACGGTGGAAACAACAGTGCCAAGAATTTCGTGGTGGGAACTTGGTTCCAAAGAATCAACCAAAACTCCCTAAAATGAAACATATTCAAAAAAAATTTCAACAACCCAAGTGTAGATCTCTAGACACTAAATTTAGAATGTGATGCCTGTGTGATGAAATAATAAAATAAGCTTATTTGTTTTATTATTACATGATGTTGAAAGGAATATTTCTTAGGAGGTAGAGGACTGTTCAAAATTGTGACTCTTTTAGTCTGTTCATAATTTTACCGCAATGGCAGAATGTCTTCATTTTTAGATCTCATTAGAAACAAAAACTAGCCTGTTTATTTGCATATAGGTATGTATGAGAAGGAAGGGGTTAATTTATCTGGAGATTATGTGATTCTGATTAAGAATTTATGAACGCCTTTAATCCCAGCACTCTGGAGGCAGAGGCAGGTGGATCTCTGTGAGTTCAAGGCCAGCCTGGTCTCCAGAGTGAGCGCCAGGATAGGCTCCAAAGCTACACAGGGAAACCCTGTCTCGAAAAACCAAAAAAAAAAAGAATTTATAATTTTGTCCTTGCTGTAGCCAATTCTTATGTTATTTCTTTCATACCTCAGTAGTTCCAAGTCTTATTTCTGGCTTTAAAAGAAAGGACTCTGAAAACATTCTTACTATGTTCAGTTTTTTTTGTACACTTATATTTCCATTTGTAATCCTCAAAGATGGGAATTCACTGCTGCATGTCTGATTGTCTTATCCTCCATAGTGGAAATTTTGAGTACTTTCCTTGGTGAGTGATATAATGTGCTTATGTTTTCTTTCTCCCTTTTCTTCTTTTTTTGTTTTTGGTTTTGTGTTTTAGGTTTAGGATTAGCGTTCAACCTGCAACCAGCCTTAACAATAATTGGAAAATACTTCTATAGGAGACGACCCATGGCTAATGGCTTGGCCATGGCTGGAAGCCCTGTTTTCTTAAGCACACTGGCTCCTTTCAACCAGTACCTGTTCAACACTTATGGCTGGAAGGGAAGCTTCTTGATTTTGGGGGGCATATTCTTACACTCCTGTGTAGCTGGGTGCCTCATGAGACCTGTACAGACAAGTCCACGTAAGTCGAAGTCTAAAAGTAAAGTTGGTTCAAGACATGATGGAAGTATGAAGAAAGCCAGTAAGGTATCAACAGCAGAAAAGATTAATCGGTTTTTAGATTTCAGCCTTTTTAAGCATAGAGGATTTTTGATCTACCTATCTGGAAATGTCATTATGTTTTTAGGGTTTTTTGCCCCTATCATATTCTTGGCTCCATATGCTAAAGACAAAGGAGTGGATGAATATAACGCAGCTTTATTGCTGTCTGTGATGGCTTTTGTTGATATGTTTGCTCGACCTACTGGTGGATTAATAGCCAACTCCAGATTTGTCCGTCCACGAATCCAGTACTTCTTCAGCTTTGCAATAATATTCACTGGCGTTTGCCATCTCCTCTGCCCCCTGGCAGATACCTACCCAGCTTTGGTGGTCTACTCTATATTCTTTGGCTATGGATTTGGAAGTGTTAGCAGTGTCCTCTTTGAAACTCTCATGGACCTTGTTGGACCTGCCAGGTTTTCCAGTGCTGTGGGACTTGCCACAATTGTGGAGTGTTGTCCTGTTCTTCTTGGCCCTCCTCTTGCTGGTAAGAATATTTCTCATCAATATACCAAAAAGAATAGCATAAATGTATATGAAGTACATGAACAGATTCATGTTTTGCTTACATAAAAATGAGCAAAAATATAAAATAATATCCTGAAAGTGTTAGATTTTTATGAGTCAATTAGCTGTGTTGATTTTGAGTTTTTGCCTAAGGTAGATAGATTTTTATGTCATTGATACAGAATACAAGGATGAAGGAAATGCACTCAAGTTTAGTTCTTTGAGTAAATAATATGTTACACATCCACAAATGATGAAGATGACATGCAGACCTTTGTGATGGGAAATGGTTTGTAAGTTGGCCATAAAAGTACCTAGTCTAAACTTTCTACTGAGTAATTCCAGTAAATGTATGTATCATCAAGTTGTTGGGAAAATGACCTGATATTTTTCTTTTTCTTAAGAGAGAAAGAAAGAAAGAAAGAAAGAAAAGAAAGAAATTGCCAGTTTGTGTTAGCCTACACCTTTAATCCCAATACTTGGGAGGCAGAGGCAGGTGGATCTCTGAGTTAAAGGCTAGGCCTGGTCTAAAGGGAGAGTTCCAGGACAGTCAAGGATGCATAGATAAATGCTGTCTTGAAAAACAAACCAAAGAAAGAAAGAAAGAAAGAAAGAAAAAATAAGAGAAAGGAAAAAGTAACATGCAAGAAAGAGAGAAGCAAGGGAGAGAAAAGTAGGACAGAAAGAGAAAAGAGAAAAGCAGAGAGAAAAAAAGGCTAAAATAGGTATTAGAGAAACATTGGGTTTGTTGGTTTTTCTATGGATTGTCTTGTGGCTTCCTTTTGAAATATATTTAAGAGTACTCCTGGAAGGAAACTATGATAGACACTTCTGTGATTTTTCACTTAAAATACAAAAACAAAACCATGGCAAATGTGTTACATGCCTAATTTTATTTAATACCTTCTTCAGTGTTAGATTTTAAATGTTTTTGATGATGGTGATGGTGGTGATACTAATAGTTATTTGTGGTATAGTCTCTACCAAACCTTGTATATGTATAATGAATACTGAGCTCATTCACTTAGGTTCTTGGTTGGCTTGCATGGTGCTCACACACATGAAATAAAATGGGTCAAGCAAGAAAGAGGGGTGAGGGAAGAGGAGAGGAGAGGAGAGAAGAGAAGAGAAAGAAAGAAAGAAAGAAAGAAAGAAAGAAAGAAAGAAAGAAAGAAAGAAAGAGGCAAGCAACTAGGCTTCATTTTGGAAACTATATCAATAAAAATTTTAAAAAGTCCATAGTCCACAGGGGCATTGGCTATGTAGCCATGGGCAGATGACTTCAAAGGCATGACAAGGGAGATTAGCATAGATAATGTTCAGCTTGTGTGAGCCATTAGTGAACCACACAAAAAATCATTGGGTCTTCTAAAATAATGTAAATTTTTCATAATTAAAGAAACATGGGAAAATGAAGGGATCTCAAAGTGTCTTCTATAAAGTGATAGTTTAATACATATGAAAGCTCATGCCTTTATACAGAAAAACTCTCATATTCATTCCTATGTATTAATATCTGAGCACATACATGCCTAATTTATCTTGATTATACATTTTAATGGCAGAAATGGTTTTTGATAAATGTGATGTGATACCAATATACTTCTATAGGTATTTGTTCACACTTGTATTGAGTAAATATAGGAGCATCATCTACAATATTGTCTATATTAAAGTGTAACTTGAAACTGGTCTAAATGAGAAGAATATACAGTTTGTATGAAATGGTTTCTTCTAGATGTCATGTTATCATTTTATCCTGCTCTCTTAAATGATGTTTTTCTGTCTTGTAGGCAAATTGGTCGATAAGACTAAAGACTATAAATACATGTACATAGCCAGTGGGACAATTGTGGTAATATCAGGCATTTACCTGTTCATCGGCAATGCTATAAACTATAGACTCCTCGCCCAGGAAAGGAAGAGAGAGAAAGCAAGGAAGAAGAAATCAGCCACTCATCCTTCCAGAGAATCGGAGGCTTTGAGCAGATCAAAACAGGAGGATCTTGCCGTCAAAGTCTCAAATCCACACAGTCCTCCTTCAGACAAAGAAAGGGAAAGCAATATTTAACATGAGTCTCATCTTCAGCCAGTGTTTATTAATTTACTATGAGTTTCTTTGTGTTTTTCAAAGTGTTGCAAAGGATTTTAGCTAAAAGAATCACAAACAGTAATGAAACTGGTTTTTTCCTCAATGACACTCTAAAAATCAATATTTTGACACTTTTTTGGATAGGTAAATTTTGAGATTGTGCACACAGGAAATCCATGCAGTGGCTTATTTGCATACCTGACTTGGGGTGTTGTGATGAAAAATCTTTCACTGACTTTTACTTCTAGCTGTAGAATGAAATCTGCATCCCAGACCCCCTGACTTTCGTAAGCATATATCAATTCCATAGAATGTCCCTCTTCAAAGTTAATTTTCTTTAATTTGATGTTGTTATGAAGTAAATTGAGGACAAGCATTTCTCTTCACACACAAAGAATCACATATCCACACTAACACTGAGTATCTTGAGACCATGAAGAAATAAATAAATTTGAAAAAATACTATTATAGTCATTTTTAAGTAAAAGCAAATCTCCAGGGAGACAAGGGGAATGTGTTATATTTGTGTACAATTTTACAGTGTGGATTTAAATTAATAGTATATGGTAAAAAACAAAGTGCCGTTAACCCAGAAAAATGACTACAACTACAAGAAAAAAAATGTTTGTAAAATAAGTTTGGCTTACAAAAACAGACCCCTTTTGCACCTTCCTTCTGCCCACTCATGCTTGGTTAATCTGCACACAGTTGTGATTATTGCCTGGTGCTAGAAAAGAGAACAAACCCCCAACCCCATTAATTTCTAAAATTCTTAGCTAATACGTACATTGAATTCAAATTTTAATGACACTGAACAACCAGTTGAGTCCCATTGATTTAAAAAGTATCTTAACCCATAATATACAACTTAATGATAGCATTTTTTTTCTTTTTAAAACAAGGGCTCAACCCAGAGTCAATGTTGTGCTGAAATCCCAAAGCCAAATTATATTAGAATACTAGTTGACACTTTCAAAGTAGAGCAGTTTCCTTCCCCCGCCACACACAAACACATAGCCAAAGTAGTGACACCATCCTAATCTTATGAACAAGTCATAGGAATAGAGTGGACAACAGTAGCAGTCATTATTGATCCAACTAAAGTCTTCTAATTCTTTTCTAAAATAAGCAAAAGCAAAAACAAACAAAACAAACCCAGGCCTTGGATTCAGTACCTGAAGATGCCTCATGGTAGAACAGAGAGAGGATGAGAAGCGCTTGAAAATTCTACCCTCTACTGATTTAGACTACCTGCTGCCTAAGAATAGAATGAGAAAATTGGGACATTTGGGGTGGGGAGACACTTCTAAAAGTACAAATTGTGGGGACTTGTAGGTATATAATTTATAACATTGTATTGACATGTTAAATGATTGTTGCTCAGGTCAATTTAGCATGTTCTCATTTTATTAAAGTATCTGGGATTCAGGATCATTCTTAAGACAATTTGACAGATTTGTGATTTCATAATATATAAATATCAACTGAAATTAAATATCTGTATCTCTCATTTGATTTTTATAATTAATAGAATGAACTCGGTGATTTATTATTGACTGATGTCACTCTGACAATGTCCTCTTCTTTTTGTCTTATTTCTTATACTCTACTTAGACACTACAACTTTTATGACATTAATATTAAAGAGTTGGTTCTGTCATAACATTAATACACTGCTTCAAACATGTGGCTCGTGGGATCTGGTTTTTCTTCATTTAACATTTGCATTTTCAAATATGAAAATATTTCTGATTTTCAGTTATATAATTAAAAACAAGATGTGCCAATATCATAGGGAAATGAATCAGGACAATATGTGACAACACATGACTTACAATGTCTTCTTTTTTTCTTTGCAGTAGTACGATGTCCTTTTCTTTAACTTGGTTTCTCCCAATCATGAGTCAGATTTTTTATATGATTATTCTTCCCATATCACCTCAGTTTTCATAAGAAATCATTATAGTAGATCATAAACTCTTCCAAAAAGGAATGTCTTGCACTTGTTGAACTATTATACAAATCACACAGCAGAAGGAGAGGAACAATAAGGCAGTGACTATGGGATTTGCAGTCAAATCTTTGTGCTCTGTCCACCTGCATGCAGAGATGATGCTGTAGGTGGGCTTAGTGCCTTCCTTTCTCCCTAGAAAGAAGTTTTGTTACATCAGTTGCTGATGAATCAAATCAAAAGTGAATTGCATTTCCTTTGCTGCTTCTCTGTTGCCTTAATTCACTTCATTGCATTGATTTTTAAGGGGGTGGAAGGATTGAAAAGCACATAACCTGGTACATAGAGGCATGTCAGAAACATGCAATTGTAAGTATGTACTACTGTAACAGACATTCTAAATTAGGCCATACCTCAGTAAGAAAACCACAATAGAAATGAATCTACTTGTTTGCTCTTCCCAGTCCAATTGCACCCGTTGAAATAACTTGTTGCTTTAATTAAATCTTTCAGAGACTATTGGCCTAAAGCTTTTGCTCCTATCTAATCACATAAATAGAGGAAGAATGTAGATAGCACTCTTGTCTGCAACTTTAGGGCTGAATACGTTCCTGTCACAATGGAACAACAGATTTTAGATGTTGAAGATAAACTAAACTAATATCATTAATCATTAAAATCTCTACTAACTCCTATTTATCATTACAAAAGTTATACAAAAGGAACTAAAGTACTAATAATTTCTGTTCACTAGCTAGTTTACATATTTTGCCTTTTGCTATTTAACCTTATCTATTTCTTCATTGTCCTTAGAGAGATAAATAGGTATGGTCTTCTTCTTACCTAGTCTTCTTTCTATGTATGTTTGAAGAGTCAATGGGCGAGGCAGTAATATGTGTCACATTGAAGACATGAAGTTTTCTCAGTATAAATTCACACAACTCATACATAGAGTTGCCATTTTTGTTCTGTGTTCCAACCACCTTCACTTCAGTGGCCCTACACTCCACCTGGACACGAGACAAAAAGTAAAACAATTCAATTTAGAATTTTTCAAAAGTATTCTATAAGAATGAAATTGTCTCACTTGTTTCTAGCCCTACAACATGACAATCAAGAACATAGAAAAGTATAAGTAGAATTTTATATAGATGTTATAAATAGTTTAAATTACATTTTACCCAAAATTGCCTTATAAAGAAAAAAACCTCATATATAGACTCCTTCCAACCTTTAATAGAGTAATTATCCTAAACTTTTGGCTTGATTTAATGGGAGATTACAAAGTGGAGAAAGAGTTTAGAGAGCTGTAATATGTATCTTGCCTAAATAATGCCTTTTAATATTAAAACCAAAGCCATACTAGGAGTCAAAGCTATTAAAGCCTTGATATAATAGCATGATATACACACACATATGTATATGTGCGCGCGTGTGTGAGCGCGCGCGCGCGCGCGCACACACACACACACACAAGCTCAGGAAATTTTCCTAGAGTTAAAAATAGTATACTCTCAAACCAAGATGTAAACTTAGGTGTGAGGATTCTTATCGAATTCATTCAATATCCAAATATAGCTGACAGTATCAAAAGGAAGTAAAAAGGCACACAAAAGTATAAACTTTATATGGGAAATGAGACCTAACTGCAATTTGTATTATATATTAATTAGCAACTGGATTTTCTATAAGCAAAACATAATTTCAAATTGTCTGCTTCTCTTATCAGTTCAAATTATCTCAAATAAAGATAATAATTACATAATAGCTGAAAGTTTTATTAAAACCTTTTCTCATATAAATGATGGCATGAATTTATGACTCAAGTGTAATATGTTTTTCCTGAAATTGGAGTAAAAGAAAGTTATTACACTTAAGCTATTCCTATATTTGTTCCTACCTGTGATGTAACTGGAAAACTCACTGTAGACCATGATAGTTTGAATTTCAGTGATTATCCCATTTATAGAATTACCCCAGGAACCAAGAAATGTTTGAGTTTAATGCAATTAAAGTAATTCAGTTCATAAGTACAATATATACTTATTTTCATTATTTGAAGAAAACATACCCTAAATGGTTACTTTTCAACTTCTATGAGCATGCTCTTTGTCCACTTGTCTCATGGAGAACACAGCTAGTACTGCTTTTGTCATCTTCTCATGCTAGACAGAAGAGTTTATGCATCCTTCTTTTTTTGAAGAGATCAATCTCAATGTGGTTTTTCTCATGTCATCTGTGATACAGAGGGTATAACTCATTTGTGATTTGCAAGAACAACTTCCCTGAACACTCTTCAATTCTAGGCTTGAGTGTCGAGATTGGAAAGGTGTTTGTGGTCTAGAAGACTTCTTTCAAATGTGGATTTTTCCATATGTAAGATAAATACATCAAACGAATGAATCTGGTTTGACAGAAGCTGGCAAAAGAAATCATTCTGTCCTTGGCATTTGCCTTCTGAAATTTCCCCAGTATCTATGAAAATGCCTCAGACCTTCAAGAACTGGAATTAGCAGTGCTTCCCCACTGTTTTGTTGCAGTGGTGCCACCGATGCAGACCCACCACAACTCTGTGATTCCAAACATCACTAGGATGTTTTTTAAAGTCTTGACATTTAATCCTACTGCTGTTTACAGATTTGCCTTCTGTGTATCCATACACCCCCACATGTTTGAGAGCACAGGTACAAGCAAAGAGACACACATGTCAGAAACACTCATGTGGTAAAAACCCAAGTGGTCTTCATCAACACACTTAAATGAACACTGTACTGAGGCCATCATTTTTACCATTCAAACTTAATCTGCTTTGCTGTGAGTGTTCCTACTCATAAGACTTCACATCTTCACACAGTATTATTGTAAGGTGAGATGATGTCTCTCTCTGCTTTCTTTGCTTTGACACCTTGATGGACAGAGCTTGAAAAACTTGTGGTAATGTATATTATGAAAGACAATTTTCAAGTCTCAACGTTGAGCAAAATTAATGTTGACATTGAACAAGATCACCCCTATTCTAGTCCCAGGTCCTTCCCATTCCTTACCACCCCTCTCTCTGCCTTACTTTTGAATTAATTCCCCTTTTCCATAATGTTTGGATAAATATCTTTAAAATTTTTGTCCTCCCCTTCTGGAAAGTTTCCAGATAGAATATTTCCTCAGTGGTGGGGGTTTAATGACACTGTTCTCATGGTCTTTTGTTTTCCAGTCTTCATAGATAACCTGTAACGTGAACAGCATTTATCAGTAATAGAGAAGGCCAGTATATCATGAATTTATGGACATCACAGTGACTAATGTTTCTTTATGTGATAAAACCAGCTTTTGTTTCATTGTTTTTAATTTGAATGGCAAAATAACCTATTGATGAAATAAGCTTTATGTGCAAAACAGGCACTGGATGAATGACTACTGGGGTCCAATAAGGTAGACTGAATGACTACTGGGGTATGTTTAAGGTAGACAGCATTTTCTTCAGAAAGATATTATCTCACTAAATTCAGCATGAAGTTTCAAAATGTTTGGCCAGCATGTTCATCCCATAGTTTTGTTGGCTGTGACTTCATTTTACTTTTATATGCATATAATAATGGTTTTGATAAACCCACTTTATGCCCAGCATGTTCATCAAAAAGAACTGCAGGTTGCTATGGGCTTTGCTTTTCTAGCCCTATCTTGTATTGACTGAAGCCAGAGTGATTCTGGACTTCATGTTGGAACACTGGATGTAATTGGGTTTTGATTTGTAACATATTTTCTCTCGACATAAGCAAGTATCAAAGTTATGTTTAATTAATCGATCGTATAGTCTCGAGTCTCTAAGCTATTATTAGTTGTCCATGTTTTTCAGTACTAGAATATAGATTAAAATCTCTGCTTAAGTGTATCAAAGTGATGAGTAAGGGCAAGATGGAGTATAGTATCCATCTTTTGACTCCCAAATGTTTTCACTTCTTTCAATAGACAAGGCCTGTTGACAGTGATGATGAGCTTATAGAATGAATAAAAATTTTCCTAGAAGCACACTTAATAATTCCTCGTAATCAATATAAATATATTTCTTTGATCAAACTAAAGTCTGTAAACATAATTTGAAGAATATCTACTTACTGCCACAGTAGAGAGTTCTGAGTTTGCCACAGAGAGTAACTAATAAGCTACTGAATTTTGCACAATATATGTTATTATGGTAATATCAAAGCCATTCTAGAGATACCAGTATTTATTGAAATTTATCAGTGTTGCTTTAATTGCCCTTATTGCCTAGCTGTAGACATCATTGAGATGAACTCAATCAGGCAAAACTTAACAGGTGGCTCCCAACTATGTAATTAAAACTTGAATGTCAGAGAATGCCCTTTACCTTGGTTCTGCCTGCATAGGTAGCATTCTGGACTTTTCCTCTTTAACATATCCCTCCAGACATCAGTGATAACACACCAACAATAATTCATAATTAGATAAATCTCAGGAAGAAGAGGGGTGTGACTGTTTGGAATTCATTTTGGCAAAGTACAAAAACAGTATTCTGCACTATCTAGTTTGCTTAAGTCACTGGGGACATCTACAATTGGGTCCAGTGTACTGAAGGTATTCATAAACTGACATGGCCCAGGAGAAACTCATGTGCATATGAGAGACCTTTACACCTCCCCAGGCAGGTGTGCATTGGTCTTACTTAGCCAGACTGATGCCATGTAACGAAATGACATCATTGTGAGAGGAACAGTCTCGGT